CCATTGAAAAACGCTACGGAGCACAGTTCTATTCTGAAACACATGCATCGCCGTGAGTCGGAATCCACTCCACAGCAGCTCAGTAACACAGGTTTTATGCTTACAGTGATTCAGCTGAAGTCACCAACCGGTTACCCGTGCCTTGTTCCAGGAAATTGTTCATTTTTTTGGTACTGTTTAACCAATCTGTATTTCCTGGTGTTTTGATCTCGCACAGACAACATGAAATAAATGTTTTCTGTGTTCCTCCCACAGGTTGCTTCTCTTGGAGTCACTACCTTCACTTTATGTGCTCTGTGTATAGACCGCTTCCGTGCTGCCACGAATGTACAGATGTACTACGAAATGATCGAAAACTGTTCTTCCACAACTGCCAAACTTGCTGTTATATGGGTTGGTGCTCTCTTGCTAGCACTTCCAGAAGTTGTTCTCCGCCAGCTGAGCAAGGAGGATTTGGGGTTTAGCGGCCACGCTCCTGCAGAGCGGTGCATTATAAAGGTCTCTCCTGATTTACCGGACACCATCTATGTTTTAGCCCTCACCTATGATAGTGCAAGACTCTGGTGGTACTTTGGCTGCTACTTCTGTTTGCCCACACTTTTCACCATCACCTGCTCTCTAGTGACTGCAAGGAAGATCCGCAAAGCAGAGAAGGCCTGTACGCGAGGGAATAAGCGGCAGATTCAGCTAGAAAGCCAGATGAACTGCACAGTAGTGGCTTTGACCATTTTGTATGGATTTTGCATCATTCCTGAAAATATCTGCAACATTGTTACTGCCTACATGGCCACTGGGGTTTCACAGCAGACAATGGACCTTCTGAATATCATCAGTCAGTTTCTTTTGTTCTTTAAGTCTTGTGTCACCCCAGTCCTCCTTTTCTGTCTTTGCAAACCCTTCAGCCGGGCCTTTATGGAGTGCTGCTGCTGTTGTTGTGACGAGTGCATTCAGAAGTCCTCGACAGTGACCAGTGATGACAATGACAACGAATACACCACAGAACTCGAGCTCTCGCCTTTCAGTACCATACGGAGGGAAATGTCCACGTTTGCGTCCGTTGGAACTCATTGCTGAAGGACAGATCTGGTTTGGATAGATTTATTTGTTTGGTTTTAATATCCTGTGAACATTTTTATGTCATATTTTTCCTTACAGGGAAAAAAATGCAAAAAAATTAACGACTGTAGAACTGGTTTTGCAAATTAATATTTGTGCTTAAAAATGTTTATATTTAGTTATTCAAGAAGAGCAAGGAGGGTAATAGGTTTAGATCATTTTATCTGGTACGGTGCTAATATTTTATTTGAGAAAAGTTCCTGCACCTTAACTTAATTAATTGCTAGTTTTCTTTTTTGCTTTTTAAAATATCATCATTGTATATCAATTATAGCCATGTGAGTTTGCAGGTTATTTTATGTTTGAGCTGTGATTGGAACTATATTGTATATGGTATCGTGAGATGATTTGTAGTTAGAAGCATTCACAAAGTAGCACCAAATAAATTACACTTTATTCTTTAATGTCACTGTCAATCTGCTTTTAACTAAGATTCAATAAATTTTTTAATTGCCTTAAAGACACAATTACTGGTCCTATTCACAATTTAAAATTGGCCTTATTATTTTATAATTACGCTTTCCTTTAAGGCAGGTAATCACTATGTTATAAAGAAGTTTTCCTAATAGTACTATTTTATATGCATGATTCATGAAACTATATTGTATGTTAAAACTGTATTTTTAATATTCAAATATAGATGTAAATTACTTCCAAATATTTATAAAATGTGAATAAATAGCAGAGTAGGAAGAAAGTATCTTTTTCTTTTCTTTCTATTATTTACCTCTGAACTAGCATATGGAGCTTCAGTTTTTCCCACGAAGCATTATGGGCAGAATCGAGGGCTAAAAAAGCAATACAAGTCATCGGATTTCCTCTGAACACTGCCCTTTGAAGCACTATGAATCCTAGGTGAAGCACTCTGAATTCTAATTTTTCTCCTTTTACAAAATGAACTTGATTAATCTTTATGACTTAATTTCTTTAAATAGAATTAAAATACAATAGGGGAATAATCGTTTTTTTACATGTCTTGGTCAACCAGTAACCAGTTGCCATCGAGTCAATTCCTACACATGGCGACCCCATGTGTTTAAGAGTAGAACTGCACTTCATAAGGTCTTCAAGGCTGTGTGGCCTTTCAGAAGCAGATCACCAGATCATTTTTCCAAGATGCTTCTGGATGGGTTTGAACCACCAACCTTTCAGTTAGTAGTCCAGGACTTAACTGTTTGTACCACCCAGGGACTCCTACATGTCTTGGTTAAAACAAAATGAAACAAAACAAAAAACCCATTGCCGTTGAGTTGATTTTGACTCATAGTGACCCTATAGGACAGAGTAGAACTGCCTCAGTGTTTCCAAGGAACACCTGGTTTATTCGAACCGCTAACCTTTTGGTTAGCAGCCGAGCTCTTAACCACTGCCACCAGGGCTCCATACGTGTCTTGGTTAGAACCTTGAAATACTTAAATACTACCTTTAACTTGACATTTCATAAACTGCCAATAAAAAACTAACCCCCTCTATCTGAATTACTTGAATCTCCTCTCTCACTTCTTAAGTTCAAATTGCAGCAATTGTGTAGGATGCCTGCATGTGACATATGTATAAATCAGATGACAGAGACAGTGACCTAGAGACACGATGATATTTAAAAGCTACCAAAGAATGTATATGGTTGTAACGTCTTCAGAAAACTTACAGGGGAGCCCAGTTTTCTGTCTGAGAACTGCCCTATGCATTTTCTGTTTGTTGTTTTCTGTACTGTTTAGCATAAATGAGCCAGTGCCTTCCTTCTTCTAGATTTTAACGTGATGTTATTTAAAACCACTAACCTCTAGGGCGAGAAAAATTACAAATCACTTGACCCAAACTGTTCCTCTTCTAGACGAAACCCAGATTCCCTAAATGACAGTGCCCAGACTACCTCCTTTTTCCCAGTCCAGTACTCTTGAAAGAGATTTTTTTCTGCTCTCTCTGTTCTAAGGGACTTGAGGGAGATTAAAAACAAGGCGCCATTGTCTTCTTAAAGATGTCTGTAATAGGTTTTTGGAAAACTTCTCAAGAGCATGTCTTGGCTAGGTTTCTGCTGCTGAGCAGGTCAATAATAGTGATTCCACAATATCTCTCATGATAGTCATCTTTATAAATCAAGAAACAGTAACTGAGTACGTGACATGTAAAGAATTCTATGCTACTACCTGCAGCAAATAAGGAGAATAAGTCTTGGTCTTAGACTTCATAGAACCGGGCAGGAGTAAGACAAATACATAAACACCTGTAATATAAACTGGAATCTGTTAGGTGCCATAAAAAAGATTAAAAGTTCTAAGATAGTTCAGGAAAGAGAACAGATCGGAGATGATGAAAGTCTTTATGAGATGACAGAATGGGTAGAAGGTCAGAAAGAGTTAATAATGGTAGTGTGGGGACTGGACACTCCAGGAGGAGAGAACGAACTAAACAAAGGAAGAGAGGAAAGAATCATGGGGAACCATTGAAGAATAAATGGATAGTCCAGTTTGGGTCCTGTATTATGTACTCATAGAAGCCTAGTGGAAAATAGTACTGAAAATATTAAGGCCATATTATAAAACGGTCATGTTTTGAAAGAAGTTACAAGGAGTCCCTCAGGAAATAGGGATTTATTTTTAAGGATTTTGAATATTGGAGTAGAATGATCACAATTTGGCAACTGTATAAATAGGCTGGTGGGGGAGAGCTGAAAGTGAAAAACTAATAGGAAGTTATTATAAGGGATTGAACCACAATGGAGGCAGTGGGAATTTAAATTTCTTTTTTTTCCTTATGCTTGCCTTTTGTCCTTTCAGTAATTGAAACATGTACCTTCTTACTGAACCCTACTTCTGTTAAAGTAGAAACTGATAACTCAAACAAAGTCTTCCCAAGTATAAAGTGATTTGGAAGTCTTTTCATAGCCTTGTGTTTTCCATGAAAAGCAACCTCTGTAACTAACATACTTTTTGTATTGTTAACTTTTTTTTTGTTCCTCTTCTCTTCAGTCCAGATCCTGTCCAGTGTCTTCCCATCCTTATTTTAGAAGAAGAAACTGGTTAGATTAAGATTAAGCCCAGTAAAATGTTGATTAATGAGAAAACTCTAGGAATAGTGTTTGTGTTACTTAACCAGAACATTTTTATGGTTTCAGGATAGCCAGTGAAAATCTTTTTGAAATATATTCATCTCTATATACCTAGATAGCTCAATGATGCACAATTTTAAGCCTTTTTCAAATTTATGACTTCAAACATCAGCTCATTTACGTTCAACTTGAACATTTATTAAACTTCTTTCTGCCTGATGCCAGGTTGGTAGTTAGAATGTAATGATTTAACAGTTATTAACCTTAAGATTCCTAACACTGAGTAGCTTATTCTCTGGGACTGAGACAGATATGTAAACAAATAAAATTTAGTATGATAAGTGCAGTGTGCACAAAGCATGGGAACAGAAATGATAAAGTGTTAGAGGGGGTGAAGTGTTCAGAGGTTGAGAGGAAGGAGGTTAAGGATGAAGGCTTTACAGGGTAGAAATATATAATGCTCACTGTTCCATTTTGTAGATGTACTAAGTGATTTACAGGATCCAGGAGAATTTGTGTTTATTCCAGGGGAATGCCGGTAATCATTTTCTTGGACTATATCCCTAATAAGTCTTTTTCCTCATTATTTGTATCTTTCTCATAAAAGTGAAATTATAATAAAAGGTCCATTATGGTGAAATTGGTTTTAGTGTATTATAAAAAGTATGCAAGAGGTATTGAATGTCCAGCATTGGTTAAGTAACAGCTTTTTCATTATAATATTTCAGGTCATTTATTCGACAAACATTTAGCGAGTGTTACTATATGTTAAGCACTGTTGTAGGTGCATGTGATATGGCTGTGAATAGAACCTACAAGAATGCATCCCCTCTCTTTACCAAATAAGATGAATACACAGTATGTGTAATAGTGAAAAGTAACATGGAGAAAAATAGAGGAGTACCAGGGTACGGTAGGGGATTATGAAGAAGACTTTACTGCAAAGGTGACATTGAGTAAGAAGCAAATAAGTCATGTGGATATCTGGGGGAAGAGAAGCAGGAAGAGGTGGTGTAAAAGCCCTGAGGAAGGAACACGTCTGATAGGTTTCAGGGATGTAAAGTGGCCAATGTGAATGGAACAGATTGAGGGAGGGGAAGAGAAATAGTAGAAGACATCAGAGAGTTAAAAAGAGAAGAGATGATGTAAAGTCTTGTAAGCTATTGTAATTTTATTCTGATTAAGACACTATTGTCTGGTTTTGGGTAGGGGGTGACTGGAATTGTTTCATAACATTTTAAAAATTAAGATGTAATTTTTATTAAGATATAATTAATATACAGTAAAATTCACCCCTTTTAGCATACAGTCCCAGCACATACAATTATGTAACCAGCTTTATACTCAAGGTATAAAACAGTTCTATAATCCCAGGTAATTCCCCTGTGCTCCTTTGTAGCCCACCCCTTACTCCACCTGCAGCCCAGCCTCTGATCTGTTTCCTGTCCTTGTAATATTGCCTTTTGAAGAATGCCATATGAATGGAATCATTCTGTTGATGCAACCTTTGAGACTAACTTCTTTCACTTAGCATAATACATTTGATATTTACCCATGCTGTTGTGTGTATCAATAGTTTGTTCCTTCTGACTGCAGAGGAGTATTCCATTGTATGGATGTACCACAGTATATTTATCCATTTCCCAGCTGAGGGACATTTGCATTGTTTCCAATTTTTGGTGATTTCAAATAAAGCCACTCTAAACATTCATGTACAGATTTTTTGTGTGAACATAAGTTTTCATCTCTCTTTGGTAAATAGCTAGGAGTGGGAATTCTGGGCACATAGTAAGTGTACATCTAACTTGATAAGAAATTGCCAAATTGTTTTTGCAAAGTCACTGTACTGTTTTGCATTTCCACTCCCACCAGCAATGTATGAGAATCCCATTTTTTCTACATTTTCAACTCTAC